AGCAGGTGTTTCTATCATTTGTCATTATGTAGCAATATTCACTATCAAATTCAACCCGATGACCAGTTTTGCATAGTTGGCCCACACTGATCAAGTTATGCTTATGACCTTCTACGTAAGCAACTCTTTGAATTGAGAAACTTCCCGTGGTCAGTACACCGTAACCCCTGATGATTCCATTTGCATTGTTTCCAAATGTGATGTGTCCACCATTATAGATTGGCCTGAAGTCGCAAAGGTATTCTAACCTTCCGGTCATGTGCAAGAAGTAGGCACTATCGACTAACCACTCCTCTTCTTGTTCCTCCTTGCACATTGCCTGAAAATTAATTCGTTAGTTTGGGCACCCAAACAAGTTTGGAGCCCGGGGACACATGAAAAATTTTCTTAATGGATGCATGCACATGGGATTTAGGAACATGTTGCTTTTCAGTATTAGAACCTAGTTAAGGGTGTTTCATAACTTTTGGGATGTTATGAGGTTGGATTGGACGTGACGTTTTTAGCAGATAAAATACAAAGGAGAGATTTTTCTTGTTTATCCATACACCGTACTTTGTCAACGGTCCGTAGGATGTGGTTGGAGACTTGTGACCAGTCCTTGGGTGAAATTTGGATGCAGTGCCCTTGGGACTTGAAAAAGTTTTGTCACGTGAATTAGGCTTAGGTTTTGACCTGATGACTGACTAATGGAATTTTGAACATTCAGGAGTTGGTAGAATACCTTTCCACTTTGCATTGTTTAAGGAATATTGTTGAAATGACGTGACTTTCTTTTGGGATTTTGTAGGAGTGTTTTGAAAAGATTTTTGTTACAGCACATTCATTTTTGCTTGATCCATTGACTGCTGTATATTTTGAATGATTTTTGGCAGTAATGGGTTTTTCAAAATTCTTTTGATTTGAAAGCTTGACTTGTTTGAAAGTTTTATTTTTTAGATCAGTTTCTTGCTTTTTACCTCGGGATCTGAGTTCCTCTTTGAAAGACAATTTTGCTTGAGTCTTTGGAGAAACACAATCAGTTACATTTAACTGCGGTTTCTTGAAAACCTTTGAACGAGTTGAAAATTGGGGACTTGAGTCATCAGAACTAGAAAGTTCAGGACTTTGAGAACATTGGCCAAATTCAAAATTTTCAATTGGCAATTCATGAAGAATGGGCTGAAGAATCGTTGTGCTTTTGACCGGGGTCTGCGGTACAGATGACTGGACTACCGCAAAGTATGTCAATGTTGGCTTTTTGTTGGGACATTTGATGGAAGGCAAGGATGGACAATTTACAGCAAGTTCTGGTCCTTCCACAATGATTTCTTCATCTACATCTGAAGTGGACTGAGAATCGGGAAAAATTGTGCCAATGATGGGTAATTGATCACTTGGATTACTCGAGGATTCGGGAAGAATTTCCTCAATGACACAGTTGTTACTTCGTTCGTGAAGTCTATCGAAGTGACATTTTATGTCTTCGGGAAATGTTTTATCATTGACTGGGAAATGAAAGTCACGATCCGGTGGGACATATGGACGATCAACATTAAACCGGGGAGTAGAGTTCTCTTCTGTTGAGTAACCATTGGACCATCCCTAGTTATAAGTGTTGTCTACGGTCCCATTGTTAACCAAATATTCAATTGCTTCAGACTCATTAAAAAGCTTTTCAATTAATTGACTTAAACGTACAATTTCTCTCCTGAAAAGATCCCGTTGATTTAAAGCAATATCTAATTGAGTTTCATTCAACATCCTAGCATCCTTTTCTAGTAACAAATCCTTATCTAACATGGCAATCTTAAGTCTCTTATCCTCAAATCTTCCTCTCACGTGATATAACTCTTGGGACGCTATATTCTTTTAATCCAGGGCATTGTTGTTGTCTGAAATAACGACAACACACGTGTCATTAAGTATTTCTAAATAAGGTTCACAATCATGCATGTTGTAATTATTAGAAAGGATCATAATTTTTACCTTTTCGACGATGCTGAGAATTCCATCTTTGGCCATGTAGCAATAATTACTCTACAAATTCGTCGATCTGTCCTCTTCAGTAGTTGCAACCATGCATATTTTCCCTTTTTGCTTGTTGTTGTCAACCTCTTCATCTTTATCTCTGGATGACCACACTTGATGATCCCTCTTCGCTTGAGCAACATAAGCTCTTGCCTTTTTATTTTTCCTCCATTGCTTGGGCCATTCTAAGGTAGAATTCCTTGTCCTTAACCACATTTGCTTTGCAATATTTGGCAAAATGATTCTCTTTATGACACTTATGGCAAATAATGACTTCATTTTTATCTTCAGTCGAGGTACCGGAGTCTGATGGTTTGTTGGACTGCAGTGCCTCTTTGGTATGATGTGTATTCTGTGGCTGGGCTGGATGGTGAGGGTTTCTGGGATATCTTGAGTGGTTATTATGTGGATTGAAGTTGCGGTTAAAAGGTGGTTTGGTAAACTGCTGATTTTTACGAAATGATGGTGGTGGTAGCCTGTTGAATTGTTGGCTGACCAAGGCGATGGCATTTTGAAATTCTTCTTCGTCATCGATTTCAGCATCAGCCTCATATGACTACGGTGGGTTGTCATATGAAAGTGGGTAGGATGAATCTGTGGGATATGAATACTATGGTGCTTTGACTTGTGGAGTCTGAGCCATCAGGGTGAGTGGTCCACCCAGGTCTGCATAATCTTTTAGCATAGTCGATTCTTGTGCTTGAAGTTCTCCGTATAACTTGAACAAGGACAACGTATGAATCTTTCTATCCCCTTGCAAAATCATCTTTGCGGTAGACCAATATCTTCCCAAACCGTTCAGAAATTATAGGTTTGTTTCATGATTACTTTGAATTGTACCAGCATTTGATAATTTCGTGATGATGAGATTGAATCATTTGAAGGAATCGTCAAGACTTTCACCGAGAAGAGCTTTAAAGTTGTTAAACTCATTGAGAGTTGTGGTGAGTTTCTTATCCTAAGCTTGTCCTGACCCCTAATAGAGATTCTTGAGCAGATCCCAAATCTCCTTAGCAGATTTACAATTGATGATGATATCAAAATTATCTGGAGCAACACCGCAAGAGATTTCATAAAAGGCTATGGCATCATTCTCCATTTTGTTAAGATCATATTTAGTTGGTCGATTCATTAATGCCTGACCTCCACCTAGTCGTGCTTGAGCACCATCTGCTTGAACGGTAGTGAGAACATTGACATCTTTCCACATACCTCCATACATCTCTACCGAGCCTATTGAGATATATTTCCATTCTCTGATACCAATGGTGGTATTCATTTGAAACCAGTATTGGAGTTCTGTTCGAGCCTCCAATACTGTTGGAAACGTTCAATGATAAAGCTTGTGCCATATTTCCTTTGTTTTGATTTATTTATTTGTTTGTTTTTTTTTGTTTTGATTTTCAAGAATGAGCTTCAGTGGTATAAAAGGCCTTTTAAAATCAGAGTTTTGTTTAAAAAGCATCCATTTTGGCTCTGATACCAATTGTTGAGAGAAAAACTTTTTGAAGAACACTTGAACAAACGTTAGTACTAGATAATAAGTTGTAGAATAAGTTAATCTCAAGGATCAAGTTAGCTCAACAATAATAAGTTAGAAATGTTAGATAGTTAGTTGCGGAAATATAAAGGAAACATAAATGACAACAAGTTATATCAAGTAGACACCAACCTGATTCATAACAAGGTTTGCAGTCAAACACAAGTTAGTAAATGAGAACAGCTTAAGGTGAAGAGGAACTCGGTTTATCGGAAGATAATAGATAGAGATGAAAGATCTTTGTATTACAATGATAGTTCAGAAAGATCGTGAAGGTGTGTAAATTACATAAAGTAGGATACTCTATTTATAGAGTCCCAAAAAGTTACATATTGAAATAAACAACTACTGAACTACTGACTTTAGTGACCATCAAAGGTTCATTGGATAATACAAAGTGTGTACGCTAAGTCAGTAATAAAACAAACAGATTATCATGCAATATTCATTTATGCGGTAGCTGTTGCGGTTGCGGTTCACAGCGGTTGCGGTTCAGGTTCAACAAAACTTCTCCAATTGTGGTAGACAACTTCTACTACGGTATCAACTCCCACTGTGGTATCAACTACAATCCAGACTGCGGTTCCTTAGCTAAAGAGGGTCACTTTTTGTATCAACACAAAGTACATTGAGGATGAGCCAATTCCAAAACATATCAAAGATCAGAAGAAGAAAAAGATAGATAAAGAAATGAAGGAAAAATGGAACGGGAAGCAAAGAAAAAAGACGATAACTGATACAATCTATTCAGGAAATACCTTATAGATTGGTTAAATGGAGACGAAGAAAAAACACAAATGAAAATTTTTGATCTTGTAAGTTTTTTTTTTTTTAAAAAAATCTTATTAGTCTTATTATAGTGTATATCATTTCTAAATATGACAATACATATTTAAATGCATATATTTTTCCCTATTTTCCATCAAGAACACATGTTTGTATTTGTTTTTAACATTAAAGATGCAAACATTGTGATATTAGACAACAGCATCTCAGCGGCAACAATCAAAGATTAGTAAACGCGTTTACTCAAAAACCTGGTAAGTAATTACATGTGACTATGTAAAAGAATCACATGTGATTGAATAAAATACTTATAATAGAATGTGATTACATAAAAAAAATCAAATGTCATTATAGAAAACAATCACATGTAATTTATAAAAAATATGAATAAACAATTGTGAATCACATGTGATTATACGTTTGAATTCAAGCATAAAATATTATTTCACGCATGTAATCACACGTGATTATGTAAATTATTTTCAATCGTATCTGATTATATAAATATAAATAATATTTTTTTATATGTTTAATTGTATGTGACTAACTTTATATATATTTTTTTAATTTTCAGAAAAAATACTTCTTGAGATATCTGCATGAGATCAATCATCCTAGATGTCATGCCCTTCAAGACCCAAATATCAAACCACAAATACCACATATGATATGTAAAACTAAAAATAACAAAAGAGATTGTGGAGTATTTGTGATGAGATATATGGAAACATATATAGGTCCAACAGATTACAAAACTGGATTCCCAAAAGAAGGAGCTGAAGATGAATTGCTCGATTGGGTGAGAACCAGATATGCTTATGCATTGATAAATTCTAAAATTAATTTCTTGAAGGATGATATCATGGAGCTTGCTCATGAGTACAACAAACAAGCTAAAGAGAAGAGAGAAAGCGATCAAAGAAAAGCTTGTGCAGAAATCCATAAAAGGTTGAAGGACTGCCAATGAGGATGATTGAAGGCAAAATGTTGAAGGGTAAGATGAAGATGGAAGTTCTGAAGGTGAAGGGGTAAAGGTGAAGGTGAATATGGAAGTGGAGAATGCTGAAGGTGAACATGGAAATGCTGAAGTTTGAAGGACTGTGTCAATGGATAATTTGATTGTTGGTTTATTTAGACAATGTTTACTTTTTAATTAGATGAATGCTTGCTACTTTATTAAGACAATGATTAGGTTTTAATTAGATAAATGTTTGAACATATATATGATATCATGGATATGTGAAGCTTAATATGGATAAGTATTTTATTACTTTACAAAACAATCTCTATTTTTTTTGTTTTACTATAAATTAATGTTTAAACAATGTTTCATTTTAAATCATATATGATTTTGATATTTCTAATAGTTATAAAATGCCTTGTTCTTTGTACAATACGATGTGATATCGACAATCACATGTGATTATTAAAATAATCACATATGATTATAAAAAAATTTTATAATACATTTATATTGAATAACTTAAACATAATTTATATATCAATCGATTATGTGATTAAACATGTAAACATTAATGTAAATAGATGTGATTAGAAAAATTATACAAATACATAAACTCTTATATAATGATTTATTTACACAATGGCATGTGATTATGAATGTAAACACATATTATTTGGAAAATCATGTGTGATTATATTCATAATCATTTACGAAAGAATTAACATATGATTTCAACAAACACATGTGATTAAAAGATTTTAGATCAGAAATATTAAATCAGAAAGAATCACATATGATTAGTTTGCATCGATTATGAACAATGTATGATTTATACATCAATCACATGTGATTACAAACATAAACATAGTTTGAATACTAAATCACATATGATTACCATATGTAATATAGACAAACTTATTAAATCAAACACACTCATATATAATTATTACTTGTAATGAAAATTAAAAACAAACTCAAATATGATTATTATCAATTGTTATGAACATATAATGCTTAAAAAATATAAAACTAAAAATCAAAAAATAAATCTCATAAAAATAAAATATGATTATGACTTAAAAAATCATATATGATTATCAATTCTTATGAACATTGTATGCTATACATCATTTCTAAGCAACAAATCTGCTTGGACAAGTACGGCTATTGTGCGGTTCTCTTTTACCACACACTGATCATTTTTTGGTCTTCTTTTGAACTTTCATAATTGATTTTTCAACTTCACCAATAAGCATTTTCTTTCTACATCCTTTATTGTGTTGAGCATCTAGAACAAAAATCTCAACCTCTTCTGGTATAGTAACCTTATAAAGTCTCTCAACGGCATCAAAATTTGTAATAGGCACATCATTTGAAGAATTACTCTTCATATCATTCAACAAAAGCTGTGTTTTTTCAGCCAAAGATGCTAGCTTCTACTTATCAACTCTCACAATATCTAAAGCATACTCAGTATTGAAAAATACTTCATTGACCAATTTTGTAACATCTGCATCCTCTTCATCAAAACGATCTCTTGATAGTTGATAATTTGAAGATATTACATCCTTTCTCCATTGCCTAGGAATATATTTATCCGTAATTTCATCAAAAATTTTGTTCATCAATATTCCGAAAGCATGTCTACACAGTATACCAAAATGATTAAAATATACACAACTGCAGTTCACTTCCTTTTCAACATATTTTAGTTCCACCTATAACAATACAAAATCACATATGATTATACATTAGCCATCTGATTATACATGTACTTATAATCATATATGATTGTACATGTACTTGTAATAACATGTACTTATAATCACATGTACCTATAATCACATCTGGAGGGGCATGTATGATCACATGTGATTTTAATCACATGTACCCATAATAAAATCTGATTATAATCAGATGTGATTTAAAAAATTAAAATTTCCATTAATCACATCTAATTATAATTGCATGTGATTATAACATTATGATGATATAAAAAATAAGGTATAATTAAAAACTAAAATACCTTATACGTTGCTTTTACTTCATGTTTATGGTACATGTGCCTAACTTTAAAAAGTTCCCATCCATCTCCCTCGCTTAAATCTTTAACATCACAATACCATCTTCCTTTATAAATCTCTTTTTGAACTTCAAAAAATAACTTGCTCGTGTAGACGTTTGTTGCATGTCCTTCTATCATACGTGGAAACTTCAAAGAATAATGTGCTCCCTTAGTTTTATGATCAAGTTCACGTTGATTATATCTTGTTTTTGAATGGCATTTTCGTATTCTTCATAAAATTTAGAAGAAAATTTTCCGTTTGAGAGTATGAATTGGAAAAGGAGTTGATACTCTCAGACCTTGATGTTGTCTTCATCAACCTGCATATTGGAAAATCACTGAAATATGCAGGTAACCATGCTTCCTTATTTTTCAAAAATATATTTAAACCACCTCTCATCTTCAAGATTAAATTCTTTCATCATAAGTTCCTGATTCCACTCAAAAACATCACACTCAATATACATGTCCCAAACAAGCTTATTGAATCTTTTCTTGAAATCGGTGCTTTTAAGAAATTCCACAGATAGATGTAATAATCACATGTAATTCACATATTAATATTCAAATATAAAGGTAATAATAAGATCTCATAACTTAAAATGATTCAATCACATGTTATTATAAACATAAAATAACAAATAATGTGCTTTAATCATATGTGATTAGAATCTGTTACAACAAATTAAAATTTAGTAATAATCTTAAATATATTAACCTTTAATGAATATATGACTAAAATCATATGTGATTAACATTTAATAACAATCTTAAATGTATTAACCTTTAATTGAATATATGACTAAAATCATATGTGATTATAAATCTTTTATATATCCAAATATGTTCAATCATATATAATTAACAGAAGCAAACATATAAAAAAAAATAATACCTTTTTTGGCAGTTTCTACATGATATGCCACATGCACAATCTATACCCTGACAGATAAAAAACCGAATCAACAACTTGAGTTAGTGTTGGATCTTGATTCGTTAAAACCAATAATGGTTGTTTATTTAAATGAGCCTTCAAAAATTGTTCAAGTAGCCACTTGTACGAATCCTCGTCCTCGGTGCTTAACAACCTAGCTCCAACAGCAACAGATGATTTATGATGATCAATAACAGTGAATGGAACAAAAACCAATGCATACCTGTTTCATATATAACGATATCCAAAATAAATTAAAAATAATGATATTAATCACATATGATTAAACAAAAAATCAAATCAGAATGCTTGTTAACAATTAATAAATCATATATGATTAGAAAAATAATTACATCAGCATAATTGTTGATTTTTGAGATTTAATCAATCAACAATCACATGTGATTATAACACATAATAACATTAGTATGCTTGTTGATAAGTAATCATTCATATTTAATTATAATAATAATCACATTACAATACATGTTGATCATTCATCAATCGCATATGATTACAATCATAATCACATCAGTATACTTGTTGACAATCGATAAATCACAAGTGATTTAAAAATAACTACATGAGCATACTTATTGTGTATTCATCAATCACATATAATTAAAAACATAAATATAGAAGAAAAACTTACTTGTTTGCACGAAATGTTGCATCAAAAGACATGACATCTCCGAATTCACTATAATATGCTTTCTCCGTTTCATCGGCCCAAAACATTCAAAACCTTATTTTCATCGCATTTAAAATAAAAAGAATAATTCGGATAGTTGTTTTTCCGATCATTCATCTTATTAACGATAAGTTGTGCATCTCTGATTCCAATAATAGATCCCATACCCCTCTTGAAATTTCTGTAATCTACAACATTACCCTTACATGCTGAAAACCGCCTTTCAAGGTTGATTTCAGCTTGTAAGCTTTTGTAGCACCCATTTTCACTATAGAAGCCCGAACAATGAACTCCTTGTCAGAATATGAAAGAGCCCTTGTACTTTTCAAGTGAAATTTATCTTTAAGGTCATGGTTGTGATTTTCTTGAAACTTGTCAAACCTATACTCATCTGTTCCTTTGACACGTTTCACAATAATATTAGCTTTACAGTTTGTCACCCTGTAGATTGTATTACGTTCCATTGAATTCATTTTTTGTTTACCCATCCTTTTGCAAACCACAAAGCTATGCTTTATTATATCACCATTTTTACTTAATATGTATATATGAACATCAAAACCAACCTTCTTTGCATATCTTTTATAAAAATTAACTCCCTCATCAACATCTTTGAACCTCATTGACTTAGTGGGTTTAAACTCTTCAGGAACATCTGGTCTAATATCATGCAAAGGCTCTGACATATAAAAATATGATACACAACTTGTACTCATCATACTGCTTGAATTTGCATCATTGGAAGAAGTACAACATTCACCTGTAGAATCAATGATAATCACATGTGATTTAAAATGAGATCCTTATATAATCATATGTGATTATACCAGATAATTGAACATAGATAAATTGACAATCACATAAGATTAACAATATAATAAACAGACAATCATATATGATTAACACAATAATAAACAGATTTAATAAAGAACTATTGAATAATCACATGACAGAAAATTGAATATACATCATTAAGGATAAATTTATTAACAAAATAAAATGACTAATCACATGTGATTAATATAGAATTCATTTTATAATCATATGTGATTATAATAAAAATTGAACATAGATAAAATAAACAGATATAAATATATATTAAAATATGAAAAAAATGAATAATCACATATGATTAACAAAATTTTAATCACATTTACTAAAAAAATTACTGAATAATCAAGTAATATTATAAAAACAGATTCAATTCTGAATACATCAATAATTAAAATTTACCTGAAAAACTGCAAATTTGGTTTTGATGACTTGATTGTTCAACATCTTCATCAACACCTTCAACACTCTCAACACAAGTA